TCTTCTTCTTCTTCTTCCTCATCATCCACATCATCATCATCATCATCACCTTTAGAAGATGCACTGCCTTCTCCCTCATCTTTGGTAGCAGTGCCTTCTTCATCCTCATCATGACGGCCACTATCTTCTTCCTCGACAATTATACCCAATTCGTTGAAATACGAAGACTCACATTCATATGAAGAGGGTTCCAATGTTCGTCGAACTTGAATCTGCTTGTAATATAATTAGTTTTTTAAAAGTATAAGTATAACAATAAATAAGAAGAATAATCTATAACCAAAATTACCTCCGCCCTCTCGAAAAAAGTAGTAAGCGCTCGCAACTGTTTCTCCATTTTCCAACAGTACATTCTTGGAAGTTGGACACCAGTATTTAATTGGGCAAATTCTCTTCCTAAGTCGGGTAGCGCCTCAAATGCCCAAATCTGCTTACCAAATAAGAGAGCATAATTAAAAATACAACTAACACAANGCTTACCAAATAAGAGAGCATAATTAAAAATACAACTAACACAAATAAATAATAAAGAACATAAATATTTAGATGAAAAATACCATAATAGCCAGGGGAAATCCATGCAAAGAATAGTTTATGGACTCTGGATTTTTTCCCTTCCCGAAAGAGGTCCGCTTGAACAACTTTACAGTCTGCTGATACGACAAGTTGCCCGAAGGATAACTGTTGAATTTTTCTAAATCTTCAACTAAGTTAAACCATCTTTCATCTACTAGAGTCTCCAACTCTGAAGATAAAACAACATGCTCCAAGACAATCACGAGTCCCAATTTGTACTTTGTCTCCGCGTCTTCCTTTTTTTTCAGCGTAAGAAATTTCTCGAGTAAGTCACTGCGTTTGATCTTCCCCTTCTTCTTCTTGAACAGTTGCAAAAGCGAACTGTTATTATTGGGGACCTCGTACGCATTTTCATCATCCGTTGCAATCTTAAATCCAGTTACAAGAGAAAACTCTTGTAACCCGAATCTAGCTTCTTTTTCCCCAAATCTGAACCACACGGCATCTTTG